GGGGTCGCGGGTCGCAGCCCCCTACCCTCCCACCCTTCTGAAATCAAATCCAGGAGTAGCCCTTTCCTACAGGAGGTAGGGAAGCTGCGTCCTGGGGGCTGGTACCAGCAGCCTGAGGCAAGTGGCCCTGACCTGGCAGGAAGCGGGGGCAGTTCTGGGAACTAGAACAGTGGTGGGCAACGGCCGGATGCACAGAGGTGGGAGGGTAGCACACCACTAGTAATCGCAGTAGTAGTAAGAGGCCCGGGGTTGAGCTAAGCTGGGAGTTGAGAGCCAGGGGGATTTGGGCATCAAGTGGCTGGGCCTTGGTCTGGGAAGTGAGGGTTGAATAGCAGGGTTTAGGGAGAAGTGGTACTGACACTGCCTGGGAAGAAGTGTGTAGCAATGCCCTGACCTAGGGGCATGGGGAGATGAGGAGCTGTAGTGGCTTGGGGAGGAGGGGTGGCATTGAGGGGGGCGGGAAGGGAATCCTTTTGGCTTTACAAATAGAGGTGTCACAGTGGCAGGCCTAGCCCTGTAACCAGGGAGGCATAGATGGAAGCCAGTGTTGGCTGTGTGCTCTGTAAAGAGAAGAGTCTACATTATGGCCTGCAACTTTGATCTAAGAGTGGTGAAGGGGCCTGCAGCAGCAGGAGTGTCACATGGTCTCTGTAGGTAAACCTGGTGTGCTGACCTGGTGGTAGGTACATTCACAGTTTAGGGATGAAGGGCAGGGAGTGGAGGGGTGGGTCAGCGAGGCAGGGTAACTGACTGTTTTCAACTACTGTTTTTACTCTGAGATAACCTAGCATCACTAGTGTCTCCTGTCCATCAGCCTGTTACCGAGAGGATTTCTTCCCTCCCCATCTCTTGTTACGCACCTGTACTGCAGGTATCCCTTTATCCACCCTTCTGAATAAAGTGCAGAACTTCAGTATGGTTGGTTGTGTGTGAACTAGTTTGAGTTGAATTTAATTTCAGTATAAAAACGTGTTTTAACCGTGTTCTAAAGAAGAGCTTCATGTCTTTCTGTTAGGTTCCATCCCCAAATTTGGGAAAGGCAGGAATAACTGAGTCTATAAGTAACATCTTGCTATTTCCATTCTCAAAAGCTGCCATGAGGTAGCTGTTGAGCATAAAGCCTTGTCTAGGCTATAGAGTTAACTCAATTCTAAACTCAAATGTTGTGCTTTAATTAAAGATAATATGATGATTTACAGTTAGACTTGGTATTCACCTGTGCTGAAGGTTTGTTTAGCCTTCTTGTATCTACATTGTTATACCTCTCACTTGCATTAAGGACAGTATCCTGGCATTCCCAAGCCAAGATAATTTTGCATGGTCTTGCATCACATGTTCTCATTAGTTCATTTGGCAACTGTAGGTGGCAAGTTGACATTATCTCACAATGTCCGTTAGTGATCCGGGGAATGCACCAGACTGCAAGGCTGTACTGTATACATCCATATGTTGTCTGTGATCATAGATTCCTTGCACAAACATCATGAGAAGCAGCATTTTTTTCTTTCTATAGCTATTTATAGCTCTTGGTGAGTTATCTGAGAACCTGCACTAACTAGGCTGCAGATGTTCTAGAGCACTGATTCTCAACCAGAGTGCCACAGAGCCTGGGATGCCTTGAGATCCTTGCAAGGGTGCCACACAATACTAGTGCTGTTTGGTTGTGTAAACACAATTCACAAGATAAACCCAGAGATTTCATATAAGAATCTGTAGTATTAAAAACATTCTGACCTGTTGTGGTCTTTTTGAGTTCTTTGCAACAAAAGAATTGCTCTATTATTTTTCTGTATGGTCAGAAAAAAAAAAGGTGGGAACTAAGAGCTGGCATTTTCTGAGGTGTGTCTTGAGTCTAAAAAGGTTGAGAACGTTGTTTTAGAAGCAACTAGTACAGTTCATTGGTGCAGTATGAGTTGGTGGTGAATGAGTTTTGAATGTGAATGCTCAGTTATGCATGTACTTGGATCCTGTTGTTAATGGCTAATGAAATGCAGTAGAGTCAGTGGATGTTCTGGGCAAGGCCGGCAACTACATGGCAGTAGGATTACTAGCATACTGATTTGGAGATCTGGGATGATTATGAGTGAACAGACTTCATTTTGAAGAATGACACCTTTTTAAAGTTGTGTGAGAAATGCATGCTAGGTCTGTAGGCCCCAGCAACAAGATTTAGCACCCCGGTCTAGTGGCACCAGGTATAAAGCAGTCATCTTTTGGTGTTAATTTGTTGGGAATAAATTTGAGATTGATAGGGGTGTGTGGGTGTTCCTGGCTATAAATGTGCTGTAGATGAGTATTGTGAGGGTGTCTGAGGTCCTTGAAATCAAGGAATCTCAGTAATTGAGATTTTTAGGTTGGACACACATTACTTAGAAGGATTATGCCTACAATCTTTCCTTTATAATGTGCAAGTGAGTAAATTAGCAGGAAGTGCTGCTACTACTAAAATGTCAATGGCCCACAGAGGCCTAAATCACATTCCTTTTATGAGCATAAATATTGGAAGTGCTGGCAAAGTGTATGGATGTTTAGAAAAGTGGGAGTACATAACAGTAGCTAGGTAAGAGCCCTTTTCCAGAAAAATATAAGTATATCAATTAGACTCTTTCTACTGTTGTTTCCCTGGGTCACAAGGACTTACCCTCCCTTAAAACAGCCAAGCAGAAGACATTTTAACTGCAAGTTTAGCAGACGGATTGAATAAACTCCTAGAAGGCTCAAGGCATAATAGAAGACTTAGTTAATCATAATGACCCTTTGTTGCAGTGCTGTTATGATCAGAGCATGCTTCTTGCATCATAACATTTGTGAAAATAATGGGAGCCTTTCTCACCACAGTGTTTGGCAGATACAAATGCCCCATCAAGACAATTTTAGATCATCTTAAAATAGCCTGATTGTTTCTAGGTTAGCATCACATGCCCTATGGGAATTGACTCTTGGTTCTTACCTTGTTGATTTGTATGAGGAGTTCAGTGGTGATTTTTTGATGGATGGGGGAATAGATTGTCAATTACTCAGTAGATTTTGTTAAGGAGTATTTGGGTTTCATATTTTTAGGAGATGGCAATACTCTTTGGAGTGGGCACAATGTAACCATACCTATGAATTGTTAATATGTATTTTTTCATTGAGGAGCCTCTGCACAGTTCTGAGCTTGGGATCTGCTGACAACACAACTTGGATTAGTGGGACTATCTGGCTGCCAAATACAGTCTGTTAGAGGTCTCTTGTGCCCCCTCTCTTTATATAGCTGAACATTTGGAGTTGACCAACTATGTTTCTTCTAAATGTGAAAGTAACAGAATAATAAACCTTACCCAGTTTCCAAGCTGGATTTATGGGAACTGTTCATTCCCAGGACTGCTGTCACCTTCTTAATATAGCATTTTAGTGGGGGGGGGAAAGGAAAAATGAGGGTTTTAGTACCTAGACCAACATTTTGGTTTCTCGTGCTCAAACTGAAAGCTACGGAATTTGGCTTCTGGAGTCATGCCTCTTGCCTTTCATTTAATTTTTTTGTTTTTTTGTTTTTGACTTGGGAGCACATTTACATTTGGCCTTCTTGGGGAAAGATCTTACTGCTGTTTATGCAGCCTTTCTTACCCAGGGCTGGAAAGGAGAATCAGTATAGTTTCCAAGTCAAGCTGTTGTAGCAAGCATTAGCAGCTAAAGCAGGGGCAGGCAATTATTTCAGGTGGAGGGCTGCTTCACGAGTTTTGGTGAGCTGTCAAGGGCTGCATGGGTAGTCCCACCTCTTGACAGTTGCCCCACCCTCTTGTTGCCATCTTGGGAGTGGAAGTCCCACCCTTAACCAGCCAAGCAATACGGTATGTTTTTGGGGCTGCGTGTACATGTGAGTGCCTCGTTCCCACCCTCGTGGGTGGAAGGGCTGGGTGGGACACAATTTGTTGGGGGGCCCTGTGGGCCAGATGAGTGTTTGGCAGGTCAGATCTGGCC